TCTGTGAATTCTTACAGTTTTATTTATTTATTTATTTATTTATTTTTGATTAATCAACTCATCTTAGAAATATATGATGCAATAAGCAGCAACGTTCTGACGCTTTAAAAAATATTTGATTTAACATGCGTGTCCTCGTTCCTATGCAGAAACGTCTCGTTTTCGGATTCAAGCTCCTATAAATGCATCGCGACTTGTGGCGCAACTGCTGACCAAAGTTTAGAAGATCCAGGATCCAACTTTATTCTGAGAGCTAACCTAAAAAGCACCTTATAATTTTCCCTTGTTTGGCCACTTTTTCCAGCTCTCCAAGTCTAAAATAGACTGTATTATTTTCACAGCGGCTTTGAACTCACCGCAGCAGTTAAACGTCCCAGATGTTGGCCGTAAAGGAATTGTGCATTTTTCTTTTTTTTTTTTTTTCCCCTCCTCTGAACATGTTGAGTTTTTAGCCTCAGTCTGTGAAGGTTAGCTCTGCACTCAGAGTAAATACAGTGTTTTAAATCTACAGCAGAGGGTCGTTAAATGAACTCCGGCGTCTGCAGTTGCATCGATTCGCTCTTATCTCGGGATTTGGGGCTGAACAGGTCGGTTCCACATCAACACAGACGAAATGGCACAAAACACAGACAGACAGACAGACGTGTTGGGTCAGGTGGAGGGATAATTAATACAAGTGAGAAAATCCATTTCGAATGTAATTACTGTCAGAGGCAAAAACAAAACGCAGCGGGAAGAACACAGCTCAGCTGCTTAGTGTCCATCAAAAATAATAAAAAAAAAGAAACAAAAAACAGTGTTACATTTTCAACATATACCACCCATTTGAAAATATGCCACTAGTCATTGCAGTGGGTTCCTAAATGATACTGCGCAGGAAAACACTGAGTGAGTTTCAGGCTTCTTTTTTGGCAGACTTGATCGCATTCATTTTCTAGCAGCTGACAGCTCAAGACCATAAACGGAAAAGAAACGGCAAAAAACCTCTCGACGCTTTCACACGCCGGCTCACTCAATCAAGACATCCCACTGCTGGCAAAGCGTCAGCCGCACCTACAGGCTTCATCTTCAAGCAGGAGATTTTTGACGTTTTCCCGTGATTACAGAGGGACACACTTCGGAGTGCTTTAGGTCATCCGCTGATCACCATGGATAAAGTACGACTTAGACGAAACACTCAGCCAGACTGAGGCAAGAAAGAGCATTGTCCATGCCCACTTCTAAAATCATCTCTTATTCACTCTGGCAATAATTCAGTTATTTCCTGAGAGGTGCCGTGGCCCCGCATCCTGATAAATGTGGTTATCGCCTCAAAATTCAATTACGGCCAAGTTGCATGAGAAACAGGAAATCAATAAATGTAATTAAATTGCTCGGCCCTCAAAAGAGCGCCATGCTGTCATTGCCCCATCAATACACCTGGCTCTATCAAATCTATCAAACGACGGGATCAATTTATTTGAATTTCTCCCCACTGCAACAGGACGCGGCCGAGGCACAGATGCCTAATTATCTCCTACTTGGTTCCTTTTCTCCTTTCCCTCCAAGGTGGAGCGAATTGCAGGGGAGTCGGAAAATCTCGGCAGGATCATGAATCATAGAGGGGGGGTGAACACATCCAGCGTGTTCTCGTTACCGCAGCAGTGGCGCAGGGGGAGACCCGAGATGCCAAGAAAAGCTGCTGATCTGACGATATGCGATTCTGATATGGCATTTCTTTTGTTTTGGTATCGCGTGACTACGATGATCATTTAGCTCAATTTCTCCTTTGAGTCAACAGTCCAGCCCGTTATCACCACCTGAGGCTGCAGAGAGAAACTGCACGTCCAGAAGCGCAGCGCTGTGGTCCAGCCGACCCAAAAATAGCTGGAAAACATGCTGACAGCAAAACTGTGTCAACACCGGGACTGTGGAGAGTCACGGTTTGTGGAAATCAAATGCTTTCATCGCAAACGATTTACATTCAGTTACCAGGTCGCCACAAAACCACAAGATCCAATCTTCTACGCAAGGCAGACTCCCATGAATAGAACCTTTCACACAAGATAGCAAAGGCAAAGAAAGATGTATAAAAACAAAAAAAGAAAATATGCAAGAGTTGTAGAAAGATGCAACAAAAGGCTAAGACATTAAGTGATGAAATGATTTTTTTGTGAATCAAGGTAAAGCTGCAGGAAACAGCCGTGTTTTCATTCAGCAGCTCCAGCTGATGGGACGTTGAGTTCAGGCTGCCTCCATAAACTGACTCAGAGTCGCTGTGGCTAATTAGCAGGGACGCTCAATTTATTTGAAGCAAAATTGGTACCGGCTGCTATTTTTTGGCATATTGGTCCGATGGGTAAAACTGGGCTGTGGTTTATTTTCATCTGGTTTCCATTTGAGTTTCTGGAGGGGGGTTGAGTTGACCATGTAACTGTTTGGACATGTGACAGTGAGTGGTGGTCAAATTGCTTCCCTGCTTCAGAAACAATCACTGTCAGCAGTGACGGTTATCTTATGGTGTCAAAATGGAAGAAAAATCTAATGCTGGTAAATCTCTTAATGGGCCTTAACGGCAATATCAATGTCCTACGTTTTTTTGTGTAAGTGCTTCCCTACTGATTTTTGTCAACATATGGGAGACGGAGGAGATGGTAAGAAGCTCCGTGATCCAAGTCATGAAGCTTTTATGAGCCAAATCAAAGAGGACTGATAATGAAGCCTTGAGGAACACCAGAACTAATCATTTAGCTAAATATTTTACGTCAAACTTTTCATCTAAACTACTGTACAAGAAGAGGAAAAGCAGTGATAACAAAGAGGTGGCATGAAGGAGATTTTAAAGGTTCTGGAGACCCAGCTTTTATTCTGATGGTCCACTTCATCATCAGCAAGTAAACCTGCATATTACTTATATAGTTAGTTCAAAGCTAAACAAGCTAAATATGTAGCTTAACATTTAGTTTGAAGCTAACTATAAGCAGGAGCTGGCGGCCCCTGACAGCAATATTTAGTCGGTTAAATGTTCAGCTTGATAATATTTCATTTGAAAGTGAGATTTATATGGATGTCTCCCATTGGCATGTTGTCCTACAAGGCTTGTACCAACCCCGGCTGGAACACTTTGGACCAGTGAAGAAGACACTTAATGAACTGAGATGAAAATATCATCAGCAGGACATTTACTCAGTTCCTCCATTACTGTTTAAAGCTGAACATATTCCCACTGAATGCCACTGAAGGCCACCTGGGAACCGCAGACAAAACTTTGATTAAATTGATGTGTCCGTCATGAAAAATAACTCCGCCACAGCACTCGCCTTTGACCTCATCCATTACCAGGAGTCCCACGCTAGACAGGGCACAATAATCCAGTTTAGAACAACCAAAATGGTGCTGGACTGTACCAGAAATACCCAGAGAAAAACCATCAGCACCGAGGAAGAACACGCCACGTTCAAGTAGAAATTTATCATGTTTGGGATTCAAACCTAGGACCTTCTCATTACAGGTTAACATGCTGCAGCTGAAATTCCTATTTAATTATTAGAGCAGTTTTGGTATAAAACTCCTGTGTAGGTAAAACAAAACAAAAAAAGGCAAATATCTAACAGAAAAATGAGCAGCGTTTGGGTCACGATGATCACCGATCTTCTGCAGAGTTGGACTGAAGGACATGGGACAGGAACTGTGACCCTGAAACTTGAGGTCAGAATAAACAGCCATTTAACATCCACTAAATTCAACACCATCATCAAACCGCTCTTCCACTCACCAGTGACCCCTGGGGGTCCTCAAACTCCACTTGGAACCCTGAACTGCAGTGATAGGGATGGGGGGGGGGGAGTCCCCTGCACTATATAACCATTGGAGCGCTGGGATTGGGTCCTATTGTGTACACTGAATGAGCGCCGAGTCACCCTCAATGGATGACGGATTTCTTTCCAACCGCCCAAACTGAAAACTGCAATCAAACCAGCCGGGAGCCGCAGAATCTGTGCGCAGTGGAAAAAAACGCGCCATCAAGTTCCAAAGTCTAAGTGCAGGAGGATAACTAGAGGGAGAGCGGCTCGGATGCGTACAGGCAGTAAATTACTGTTAATCTGGATCGCAGGTACATCTAAACAGAAACAGACCCAAACTGGCGCAATAAAAGGAATTTCTTTGTGCATGAAACAGAGAATGGCGCAATATAACTGCGGCTAACCGAGCTGGAAACGGGTTTAGCAAATCTAAAAAGGTGGATTTTTTTTTTCCTTTTTTTTTTTTTTGGGCTGTTAAACTTGAAACAAAGCATCAGCGTGAAAAGAGACCCACTCTCTGACACGCCATCAGTGGCGCGTCACCGAACCAACAGAGCAGAGGGGGACTTTCTGAACACACAGACAAAAAAAAGGTTGTTGCGCTGATTTCATGCGTGCAGCTCAATGGGCGGATTTTCAGGCTCGGATGGATTCCGTGCTGAAGTCAGAAAAATAAAACGCGCTGGTTTGGGTCAAGGAAGCGCAGACACGGTCCCCCCCTGCGGCCCCTGCCAGCATCCTCTCCCGCAAAACAACTCCGGCTCTCAAACTGCTGCGCACAACACCAAGATTCCCTTCACAGCGGACCAGAAAGCACAAACTCAGAAGAAAATGATCCCCACCAGATCTGGTCTGGGATACTTTTTAGTTTCAAAAGCTGTATGTCGAAAATATGTCTGATTTGAAAGTCTGCAGTCAGTCAGAATCAAGGCTCGTTTCTCTTTTCGCGCGTTATACTTGATCTGCGCATAGACGGCAGACATTTCTCCTCCTGGAGAAACTTTTTTATTCGGATGGTTGTGTTTGTGAAAGGAACGGAAGCCCGGCAGCAGCAGCAGCAGCTTCAGCAGCAGCAGCAGCAGCCTCCTCCTGCTCCGGTCCGGAGCCGGTGCTGTGGACGCAGCCAGAGGATGCTGCTCTGCCTCCACTCAGCAGCTCCGCTGTGGGAAACCGCCAGGACTTAATCTCCTATTGTTAGAAATAAACGAGTGCTCTCACCTGCACAGCCGGTGAACAGCAGTCCCCAGAGGACGTCCCTTATCTGAAGCATTGTAATGTCTCACAGATATTCTCCTTGAAGATCAAGCGGAGAGCTTCTGGATGAACACAGAGCAGCCTCTGTGCGGCTTTTCTTTTCTCTTCTTCCTTTTTTTTTCCAGGGACGTAAAACAGCAGCTGCAACAGGACGGGTTTTTGGTCCTTGTGGCTACCCGTGTTCGCGCCGCGGCACAGTGAGTGACAAGCAGCAGCAGCCGAAGCTCGCACCGACGCGCACACACACGCACTGAGCGGATACCAGCATGGATCACTCCGCCCGCCAGAATCCTGCCTCCCCCCCACCCACCTCTCTCCTCGTCCTTCCCCCACCCCCTTCACACACACAGAGGAGGCGGGCCGGGCCGAGCCGAGCCGAGTCGAGCCGAGGCGGCTGTAGCATCCACACGGGGCGCGCAGCGGCAGCAGATGGTCACAATGATGGCCTCTGTAATTCCGCTTAATACGATTAGGAATGTGCAAAGTTCTGCAAGATATGAGGAGTAATTAAGATTCAGAGCATTAAGGAACAAATGTGGAAAATTGAGGGTTTTTTTCAGAGTTTTGACAAGAACTGGGGAGAAGAATGGTTTACAGGTCAACATTTCGTGACTATTCCCAGTTCCAGAAAGTCTGGAAAATTGTTATATTGCTCCCAATCTGAAGAAGTATGGAAAGAGAAAAGAAAGAAAACCAATTTCCAGATTTTTTCCCCTGTGTCCCGTCTGGCAATCTGGCCACATCAATTTTTCCACCATCGTTCCAGTTTCCACAATCTATCCATTCCTCTGCCATCCATCCTTACAATAGCTGTCCATGCATTTCTCCATCTATCCGTCCTTCTTACAGCCAAACATCACTTGATTCTACAACATTTATTGTATCTTTTGGATAAAGTATATAACTGAATGAAAAAAGTAGGAACAAATGACAAGCTGCATTTTATTTAAACAGAATTTGAAAGTGTTTACAACAATGTTCGACGCATTAAAACACGAAGATACTCTCCAAGAACACAGCTGAATGTCGGCTCTTCTCTGTCTCTTCTTTAGTGAGAAATTCACCCTCAAAGTTTCTCCTAATGGATTTTCTTCATAAAGAACAAATTCGTCCACATTTCAATCAATCAATCAATCAATCAATCAAATTTTATTTGTATAGCACATTTCAGCAAGGCATTTCAAAGTGCTTTACATCATAAACACAAGAACACAAAGTCATGCAACATATAATAGACAATACATTGTTACATATTACATTTCAAAAACATTTCTAAACAGGTGTGTTTTTAATTGCGATTTAAAAGAAATCAGGGTTTCTGCTGTTTTACAGTTTTCTGGAAGTTTGTTCCAAAGTTTTGGTGCATAGATGCTGAAAGCTGCTTCTCCTCTCTTGGTTCTGGTTCTGGGGATGCAGAGTAGACCAGAACCGGAAGACCTTAGAGGTCTAGAAGGTTGATACAACAACAGCAGATCTTTGATGTATTGTGGTGCCAAACCGTTCATTAATTTATAAACTAACAACAGTATTTTAAAATCTATTCTTTGAGCTACAGGGAACCAGTGGAGGGACTTTAAAACTGGTGTTATGTGCTCTATCTTCCTGGTTTTAGTGAGAACGCGAGCAGCAGCTTCTGGATCAGCTGCAGCTGTTTGATTGATTTGTTGGACGGACCTGTGAAGACGCTGTTGCAATAATCAATGCGACTAAAGATAAACAATTTGTAATTATACATCTGTTTTCACTTTGAGTATCTTTGCATCAATTGTTTCTGTCAATCATTTCCTGGTTCAGTGTTTCAAGGTGAAAAGTGAGCACGACATCTGATCTTAGTGATCAAAACCACACAGAAACATCCACACATGCAGTCAGGTTTTTTTTTTATTGTTCAGTAATCCTGACATTCTGCATTTAAAACCTTGTCATCCTCATGCAGCACCAGCAGAAATGGGCAGACATCCGTCCTCTACTTTACACTCCAGTCCGGAGCCAAACTGAGCAGTCATCAACAAACCTTTAGATTTTCACCTTTCACATGAAATACTCTGTTTTCCTACCTCCTTCAGCTGGTCTGCTGGCTTTTAAGGCTCAACCAAAAGAAATTTACTCAACAGAAAACATCTTGACATTTCAAACTTTACCAATTTTCTCACATAAAAAAACACTATTGAGACTAAAGTCAGGATTGTTTTAACCTCCATGTATCTGGCGAAACAAGAGAAATATGGTCATTTAAAATCCCCTCCCATTTCTAAACTTTTTAAAAATCTTTTTTGTGTTGACCAATTTTCCATGTTGATTCTATTAGTAACAGAATAAAAGTCTGTCTTATGTTCTGTTAAGTAAATGGAAGGATAAAAGTTTTACCTTTGTGAAGAAGACCAAAGTTTCTTCTAATCTAAGAAACTAGAGTTTTAAAAACTAATGAGTTATGAAAGCTACGTGTTTTTAAAAGTCGCTGATATCCACTGAAATTTAAGAAGCCACACAGCAGGAGCCAACTGTGTGCATAAAGGTTTGGCATAAGATAAGACCCAAAGTGGTGTAAAGCATATACAGCTCCCAAAACCTGGCTGTTAATGGTTCATTATTTTAACAGTACATTTGTCAGTGTCAACATAATGAATGTGGACTGTAAAAAAAAAAAAAAAACTACCAGGAAATGGAGCAGGTTGCCTCCAGGTGTTGCCATCGCCTGCCCTCCTACCTCACACAGAGATCCTGTGGCAAAGAGATGTGGAAATCACAGTTCTATGAAAATGAAGCGTGAGCCTCACTGCATGTGTTGTGGACTGAATCCACATTAATTTCCTGGTCAGTTACGAATCCACAGGGTCACTGGTTTAGATCGCCAGAGCCCAAGATGTGCCTCCCTTTGATTTCCCTCGACTTCCTCCTGCGAGTGTGAGTAGATAATAATAATAAGAAAAAAAAAATAGATTTTCACATCATCCTGTTGTGCTCGTTATCAGATCGTCGATGGGGATCATGTACTATATGTATATGACACACTTCCCTTTGATTCTCTGTGCTTATCTAGAGGACACCTTCTATGCACATGTCTGCAAAAAAGAAATTCCAATGCAAGTTATGAATGAACTGTTCAGGGTCACAGCAATATGTCTGCAAGCATTCTCTGAAGGTAAATCAAGAAGATCCTGCTGGAGAAACATTGAAGCACCTGCAGACTGCCTGCCTGCCTCACGCTGCCGCCCAACCGTCACCACAGGCTCTACACACACACTCGGTGTGTGTGTGGGAAAAGACTCACTTTATTTTAGTTCATTAAACCTTCATTTTTCCAGAAAGGAGACAGACTAAGAGGAAGATCTCCCTGAAAAAAGTGATCTGGCAAAGAAAGGCAGCATCACACCTCATGGTGAACGAGGCAATGAACATTAAAAATAAAGTCCAAACAGTGTGACGAACAAAGCATGGGAGGTATTACTGCAGTAACAAGTCTAGATTTGAAACACTGCTACTGTTTGAAGGATTTCTGATTGGTTTCTTTTAGTGAAACAAGTTGTGACAGTTTCACAAGGTGAAAGAACTGAATCTTTTTTTTTATTTCTTTCCACTCGTAAGACGAGGAACAGAAAAAAACAAAATGTCATTTTATTTTAAGGCATGATGTCTTTAGGTTCACCAAAGGAAAAACAATAAAAAGCACCAATAAAGTCATTTTACTGTTTAATACTGGTCACCCGACTTGTTTCTACATTAGCTTCCAAACTCAGAGCTCCAAATGTTCAGGCATAGTTGTCATTTATCTGACAGGTGAGGAACACCTGATCAGAGTCTCCAGGCTGAGATCAAAAGTACCATCAGGTCAGAGTTTCACTGCTGAAATCTTTTCCTCCAGCTGCTCAGAGTCTGACTCCCCAAATCCAGATCAAACCACATCCAATGTGGACTGAGATTTTTCAAGACTCAGTAAAACTGTCAGGAATTCACCTGAGTGCAGTTCTTCTGCCCATGTACAGAGTGTGGGTTACTAACCTGCTCCTCGTCTGAAGGCTGTTCTGACAGGCACCGCCTGCTTCTCCTCTGATTGGGTTTTCCAACATATTTCAGCAGAAAACTGTGACAGGAAGCATTTCCATCTGAAACCTGCTGATGTGGAAGGTTTTCAGAGGCGAGAGACACATCCAAATAAACTTTCTTTTCTCTGTTCCAGAAAACTGCAAAACAGCTGAAACACTGAGTTCCTTTAAATCAGGACTAAAAACCAACCAGTTGAGTTGCCTGTGATTAGCAGTAAGTGAAACATTGATCAACATGTCTGATGTGTATCCGCTGGATGATTTTGATGAAGGCATTTGTAATGCTCATTGCTCATTTCATAAATGATGACGATGTTTTAATGATGTAAAGCACTTTGAACATGATGTGACCATTTGCCCATGGAGTGTGCCAGTGGATTTTTGTGCTGCGGTTTTACTTTTAGGAATATTTTCACTAATCTAGTTTTTAGAGACATGAACCAGAAGCAAATCAAAATGAAGGAAAAACTGTTTTGTAAACAGACTATTACTTTACCATTTACAGTGTAGCAGAATGCACCTCAACTAGTTTTTTATTTAGAAAAAAAGACAATAAAATGGGCTGAGGGATTCTAGGATGTCTCTCCTTCCTCCTCTTCTTCACCTTTTTGTTGTCTTGCGTATTGATATATAAATAAAACTGAACATACAGATAAAATTCTGATTTGTTATGCGTCACTTTTGTGAGGTGGGACTTGTCCTGCAACACAAATTACACCCATATTTTTATACCCAAACCTTTTCATTTCCATTGTCGTCTGCTCCCCAGTGTTTCACTTGCGTTGATTTGTTTCAAACTTTTGAGGACTGATTTGTAGAAGGAGGATAACGAACAACGCAGGCGTCTAGAAAGTTTAGAGCCGATTCCATAAATCAAGTGCGTTTTCATTCACTTACTGTTCCACTTCCATTTCAGGTGTGACTGTGCGGCCAGATTAATAATGTAAAAATGTAGAACAACCGGAGCTGTGCCAGACAACGTGGGACAGGAATCAAGTTTACTTTGGCACAGTGCACAAAGAGGAGGAGGGGTCAGCAAGGTCAACTCTCCAAAGCTCACTGCTGCACCAATTACCGACATCCTTACCTCCCATTTATTTATTTCAGAACCTTTGCACACATCCTTACCAGGGCTGCCAGTGATAACGGACAGTGCTGAAGTGATGTGACTAGAAGGGTTGAAGAACGG